TTATAAGATATAAAAAGATAAATCGATATAAATTATAACCCTGTTTGTGTGATGTGTTGCAATTTACTGCACAGCAACGCTCTCCAATACCGTACGTCGCCATAGCGCATCGTGGTGTACAATTTTTTAATTGAGAATTGATAATAAAATACGCGACGACTTGTTAACGAAAGTTTGGCAGAAGTTTTTTAGATCCAGCTGTAGGGGGCGTCCCATTGTTTGTCAAATGTCTTGAGAAAATTGTACTTCGATTGTTACTTAAAGAAACTAAGCCTTTTTTTGGACCCATTACAGTTTGCCTATCAAAGTAAAAAAGAAGTGCTGAAGATGCTGTTCTCTTCCACTTGCACAATATCTATCAGCACTTAGATGCTCCGCGAACATATGTAAGGTGTCTATATATTGATTTTTCAAGTGCATTTAATACTATTGAGCCTCGATTACTTGTACAGAAACTGAAAAAAATGAATATGAATAATATATTAATATCATGGATATATAATTTCCTTATATGCAGAACACAGCATGCGAAACCATACCTCCATGGTGAAACTGAATGGTACTCTGTATGATCAAAAAATCACTAGTATTGGTACACCCCAAGGTTCAGTAATCTCACTAGTATGTTATTTTCACTTTTCACTAGTAGTTTTCAAGTTAATTCAAAAGAATGTACAGTGATAAAGTATGCAGATGATGCAGTCACCTCTGGTTACATAACTGATGGTGATGAAACTAAATATAGAAGAGTAGGGCACGAATTTGCTGATTGGAGTAGTAAAAATAATTTGAAACTGAATGTAAACAAAACAAAAGAAATGGTCATAGATTTCAGGATAAAGGCAGAAACATTGGCTCCTATTACAATTAATGGAAACGCAATAAATATGGTTGAAGAATACAAATACCTTGGTTGTATAATAGATAATAAGCTTAAGTGGAAATCAAATGTCAATAAAGTTTTTTGCAAGGCTAATCAAAGAATGTTTATACTTAAAAAAATGAAATACTTGCACATAGATGGAACTATTTTAAAGTTATTCTACAAATCAGTAATTCGCAGTGTATTACTGTTTTGCGCAGTCTGTTACTTTGGTAATATCCTGCAAAAAGATCAAATTAGCAGGATAAACAAAAGAACTGGGAGATTGATTGGTGAACAATTAATCGACATCGAATCGTTGTATAACGAGAAAATATTGAAGACTGTCAATTTTTTAATTATAGTATTCACCCTTTACACAAAGTACTTGTCCTAGCACATTCTGGACTCCGATTTTTACCGCCCCGAACCGGGACTAAACGGTTCAGATGTTCGCCCATACCCAATGGAATTCATTTATATAATAATATCCTGGATGTTTATGATTGGACTTGGAAACTCACCCCGCCATTGTATGCTATAGTCAAGTTTTATGTTTTTTTATGTTATTGCTTTTGGTGTTGTTGTTTTTGTAACTCCTGTGCTTCTTTTTTGTAGTTTATTATAATTGATTCTTGACTTGCACATGTTTTTTATGTATCCGGTGTATTTTTGTGTGTATGTTTGTATGTAATTATTGGAGTTTTCTTGTATTCATGTGCAATTTTTATATTTTTGATATATTTTTGAACTGCAATTGATATTTTTGATATTGAATTCTTTTCTTTTTATTGTAAATAAAATTTTTCGTAAAATAATTATTATTTTAATTAATATTCAATTTAATTTGTTGTAAATGAAATTTTTGGTAATAACTATAATTTTAATTAATATTTAATATATAAAATATTTTTATATATAATATTTAAATTATGTAATGAGTAAATGCGTTACAATTTCTTTGCTTTTGTAATTTGATGTTTGTTGGTGTTGACGTGTACGTGTTTATGCCAGATTCAAGAAACATTTATGTTTATGTATTTTTATATGTGAATAGACCAATAAAGCTTATCTTACCTTATCTATCTTATCTTAATTCCATACAATAGATGATTTCAAAATCAATCAATCAATCGATCGATCGATCGATAAACAAATTTATCAATCAATCAATTAATTAATCGATCATTCGATCAATTAATCATTAATAAATTAATCATCAATTAATCATCAGTCAGTCAATCAATCAATCGATTTATAGGGTGGATTTTACACACATATCATAATCATATCGTATTATATCATTTATTTCGTTGACGATAAAACATATATGATACACTGAAAAACAAGATCACAGCAAGGTATACCTCCTTGATTACAAGATAGAAATACAAGAACTTAAAAAATAATAATCAAACATAATAAAAAAAAAATGTACAGACAACAATACAAAAAGGGTAAACGGACTGTTTCAAAAAACAGACAGCTTCGCGGGAGACGAAACATCTTCATTTTAATCGTCTTCCGTTTTTTTGATCCCGAGTAAAATCATCATCAACCCGGCCCAAAAAATAGAAATACCTTTTTCGACCACTGACCGTATAAGTTTTGATTGAATTCAAGCTGAGTTGAATATTAAAAAAAAAGCTGTGGTGGTAACTGGGGCACCAGATTATAAAGTGGAATCAAAAATTTCACACATTTACTTTGTTCTCAACGAATCCAAAGGTGTATTTCATTAGGCCTATCCGGAAAAAAAAAATCTTGAAAGGGTCTTAAAAGGTAGGCCTACATTTTATTCATAGTTACCAACCGTCTCGCATCGTGCAGGACGGTCTCGCATTTCAAAGTGATTTCGGGTTGAAACACGCATTTTGCAGAAACACGTGATCATAAATTTGTCACGCATTTAGCATAGGTCTATGGTAGGCCTAATGGTAATGGTAACGGCTGTATATTTATTAAGCGCATATTACAATAGTCTCTATGCGCTTGAAATGCAAAGTCTTGGAAGCAGAAAAATAAGAACCGAGAAAAATCCTAAGACTAACAGAGACAAAGAGCAGGAGGAACCAGTTGTTCTGCACTTTTGAGGCCCAAATGAATAAGGGCTCGCTGGAACATGATTCACAAGAGCTCTAGTTACACTGGCATCTGACTATCCTATCCAATAAGAAAGGGCAGAAAAAAAAACAGATTAAAAAGTGAAAAACAGGTGGGTCTTAAGCCTCGTCTTAAACAGATGGAGAATCTCGAACAGTATCAGGTAATGCGTGATAACGGATTGTCACAAATTCAGGGGAAAAATGATCTATTTAAAATTAAAAGAAATAAGTTTTATTAAAAATATAAAAACGGTCATGCAGTAACTTGAGTCAGACAGTATTTACGTGAATACTTATCACTGACGCGCTAACATTAATCAGTATGCCTACTCATTTTTTGTTTGTTTAAAGTAATGAAATGTTTGTGTACATAGTTCGGGTGCTCAAATTAAACATAATGTAGGACCTATATTGAAACTCAAATTCTATGTGGCTTTATTAAAAATATTTTTGTACCAATTGTTGTCAACAAACTCTCCTTGAAATCGATTTAAAACAGCCTAAAAATGCTCAGATCCTCAGGGCTCCGCTTCTGGACCCCGGGCTCTGTTCCCACCCCCTCCCCAACAATCTGTAGTCACGCATTTAAAATCTTTAAGGTTGGTAACTATGTTATTTTACCAAAAAGAAACTCAATAGGCCTACATAGAATGTTTGTGCTGCCCAATCAACTTATGCATGAAAAAAAAGTTGTAGTAAACTTTATGGGTTTATAGGTATTGTATGGTTATCGCATTTTAAGTTTGATACGTTGATTGCGTGTCATGATTCATGAATATACAATTTTTGGAGGTAGGGGTATAAAATAAATGAAATAAATATCTCCATGCCACCAGCAAACACGTCTGCACAAATTAGGAGGGAGCCCCCAAACCATGTAATGAGCGACATATCATGAAGTATGTAGTCGCGATACCAGACAATTACGATTACGGGACTTTAAATTTTTGTACTTGATACTCACCAAGAACTAGTCAATTTACAAACTTGCAGCGTTTTGACGAACAGCAGTTTACGAAATACCAGACAAGTAGGCCTATGTGTGTTTGTTAACCAGTTTTAGGTTTTTGTTTAAGTATTACCATAGAGAAAATAGAACAGAATTACAGCTGGGGCATAGCAGCAGCGTTCTGGGAAGACGAGACTAACTTTATTGCTGAGAGCACTCCAATCGATCGATGACACCACACACTGAGGTCTTTTTATTTTTGGTACACGTCGCATTCCCCGGTACTTACAAAAATGGTCGAAGTTCGCTCAAGATCACGTCTTTTTCTTGTTTCATTTGGTCTCAACCTAGCTTGTCTAATAAGTGCTGACCATGGATCGGCAGATAGCATTTATGATACAGAGAAATTTTCGAAAGAAGTTCCCCTAAAGCCACATTTTATAATGTTTTTTGCCCCGTGGTAAGTAGCCTATCTTCGGTCCTCCGCATAACCTAGCATATACCATTCATTATACCAGCAACTGCTCTACAGAAGGCCTAGCTAGTCGTCTTAGGCTAGGTAGGCCTCGTAGGCCTAGCTAGGAGTGAATTTTGAACTGTAACGTATTGTAACCTAATACATAGCATACCAGCATTTGGGATATAACTGTTTTGCGTCTTGTTTTAGGTGTGGGCACTGTAAACGACTTTCACCAACATGGGATGAATTAGCTGAAAAATACAACGAAGATGAGAATTCTAAAGTTAGCATTGCAAAGGTTTGGAAAAGTTTGTTAGTTTACTGTTTTATTGCAATAATTACAGCCCCAGGCTCACAGCCCTTTAATCCGACCCAGCCCATACAATATTTTATTCCTTCAGACGATCGGGTCAATTTCAAGCAAGATGAGATTCGATTTGGTCAACGCCTATTGCCGCATTAGTACTTACACTTACAGGTTAATGGGTTTTAATATAGGCGAAGCCTTTTATACCCCATTGTCAATGCCTATAAATCCAATTTGGTCAGAGGACGATTTCCTAGCGTAGTCCAAAAGACATCAAGATTTTTTTCAAAAGACGAAACTGATGTGGCTTCCACTATATCTACTGGTAATTTATTCTAAGTGTTTATGATTCGCTGGGAGTAGAAATGCTTCCTAATGTTTAAGTTCTTGTGAAGGATTTTTTGATAAATTATGAATTTATGCCCACGCGTTCTATCTTCCTGCACCAATACAAAAAGATTTCTATAATCTATCTTGTTGCAGCCAGTCATAATTTTAAATAGTTCAATGAGATCACCTCTAATCCATCTTAATTCAAGAGGATATAGATCAAGTTCTTCAAACGTTGTTCATAAGGCATGGCCTTAATGCACGGTACCAGTTTCGTTGCTCTACGCTGGACTTTTTCCAAAATTTGAATATCTTTAAGTTGATAAGGACTCCAGGCCTGTACACAGTATTCAATGTGGGGTCTTACATATGCCTTATACATAATTGCAAAACTTAATTTAAATATTTAAACGTTCTCTTGATTATTCCGAGATTAGACATAGCTTTGGCTGTTGCTTTGCAACAATGTGTTAATGATTTACCATTTGCAGTAATCCAAACTCCAAGGTCTTTCTCAGTATCGGTGACACTAATGTCTTCACATCCTAATTTGTAATTTATAGACGGGTTACCATACCCCATATGCATACATTTACATTTATTAGAATTAAACCGGAATAACCATTTATCTGACAACAGCATAATAGCATCCAAGTCAATCTGCAAGTAATTTGATTGATCATCAATATCCACTGGACCAAGTAATTTAGTGTCATCAGCAAACATCTGTATATTAGAATTTATATATCAGGAAGATCATTAATATAGATTACAAATAACGTAGGTCCTAAGACAGAACCCTGTGGGACTCCACTAGTCACATCCGCCCATTCCGAATCCTCTCTTCTGACTCTAACTAGTTGTTTTCTATCTGTAAGAAATTCTTTAATCCATGTAAGTATCTCACCATGTATGCCATATGCCATCAACTTAGTTACCAATCTGTTGTGTGGAACACTGTCAAATGCTTTGGCATAATCAAGATAGATAACATCAACAGCTTTTCCTTGATCCAGACATGAAGTAATTTCTTCCATAGACAACAATAAATTTGTTAGCGAGGATCTCCCTCTTACAAATCAATGTTGGTTAATATTAATCAAATCATGCTTCTCAAGATGGGCTGTTATATGATCATTTATGATGTGCTCAAAGATCCTACAAGGGACACTTGTAATACTAATGGGTCGATAACTACTTGCCAATCTCTTGTTACCCTTTTTATAAATTGGTGAAATGCGAGCATTTTTCCAATCTGCCGGAATCAAACCTTCAGTAAACCACTACTTAAAAATGTGATACAATGGAATGGCCATTTGTTCGCTGCATTTGTTAAGGACATGTGAATGAACTCCATCAATCCCTGGTGATTTATCTATCTTTAGCCCTTCCAAACGTTTCTTAATATCTTCCACTGTAAAATCAACCAACGTCAGATTATCCACTGCACAATTCCGGCGTTCAAGCACAGGAGACATACCGTGAAGTTCAATCGTAAAAACACTCTTGAAAAAAGTATTCAATTCATTAGCAGTTTCTTTATCATTAACAGTTTTGACACCGTTATCTTGTATTAACTCAGATAGCCCAGTTTTTACTTTCTGTTTTGCTCTAACATATCCATAAAAAGCCTTAGGTTGTTCCTTGAAGTTTTTCATGACATTTTGTTCATATTTCGCTTGCACATTTCTAACCTTCATTTTTGTCATATTACTTTGTTGTCTATACTCAATGTAATCTTTATAATGGTGTGTAATCTTATATTTTCTGAACATTTTTTTATTAATAAAAACGGCAATTATCATTGCCGTTTTGTTGTATTGCTGTTTTGGTACTTATCATTGCCGTTTCGGTTTATTGCCGTTTTGATCTGCTACCATACAGTATATTCCCCGCGCAGGCCTTTACAGCCTGGTAGGTTAGATGAGATTTCAGCTGCATACCCGCGATCCATGAATTTCACCCTATCCATTTAAAAAAAAATTATTGTAACTGATTATACTCATTTGATAGAGCCAAAACTATAGCCTGATAAACCACTAATTTTATTTACCGAATACGTATTTTGACCAGAGGTGGCGCCAGCGGTGGGGCCGGGGGCCAAGATCCCAGTGGGGGAGAGCCCGTGGTTTCTTGCATTATGCTCCGATATCTGTGTAAATGGCAGAAGGTTAAGACAGTGTTGATTACCTTCATGCAAACGTTTCTAATTCTAAATAAAAATTTTTATATTTCTTTCCTCTTTTCTTCTTTTTAGGTTGATTGTACTGTTGAAACACAATTATGTGCTGAGAATGGTGTTAAAGGTGTCTCTTATACACATCTAGATGTGTATAGTCGTGCAAGGCAGTGACTGTCTCTTATACACATCTAGATGTGTATACATCATCACCACTATTATTTTGGACATGTATAATCACACTTGTCTTTTGAAAAAGAATAAGGTTAGTTTTTGTTGCTGGGATGATCATGTACATTTCCAGGGGCCGACTATTCCATTTTATTTACTAGGAATGTTGAGACTTGAGAAAAAATATTCAATTAAATTTTCTGAAGTACACTGCACTCCTCTAAAGCTCTGTCGGCACTTTCAAATTTTCTTTGATAAAAACTGTTGTATGCCTATATATAGTCATGATGTGCCTATATATGGTCATGATGTGCCTATATATGGTCATGATGTGATGTCATCATGACCATATTTAGGCATGTCACACGTTCTTGTCAAATAAAATTTGATAGTCTAAACAGGGCTTGAGAAGGAGAGCAACTTGTAGTGACACAAATTTATATCCAATGTTCAGTGCACACTCGGTCTTTACCACCAATTTTAACCAGCCAACTGGCCCTATGCTGTTGATACCATTCTCATCCTCTCTCTTTATAATTTATTATCTCTGTTGACGTTCTTTATATTTTTTAATTATCTATTTTCAGGTCAATATACTCACAGATGAAAACTTTGTAGATGGTGTTTCAAAAGGCCTAACATTTGTCAAGTTTTATGCACCATGGTATGTTAATAAAAAATAAATTATGTACTTGTTAAGAAATCAATTTTTAAATCTATGAATTATAAATTAAATATTATAATATACTGTATAGTATTTATATATATTTTTGCATTTATTTCTGATCAAGTGTTGGGGGGGGGGAATAATATCTAAAGAATAAAAACTAAAGTTATTATTAAGGTCATTATAAGTTTATTTTATTTAAGTTTTAGAGCACAGAGATTTGTACTTTGGTTGCAATTGTTATTGCTCTACAGTGAAATAAGTATTTTTATGTAACTTAACAGGTGTGGACATTGCAAGCGACTAGCACCAACTTGGGAGACTTTAGCTACTGAGGTTGTTGAGCAGAAAGATGTAAGCATTGCAAAAGTTGACTGCACTGTACATAAATCAACCTGTCAGAAGTATGAGGTCAGTATGCACCACAATCTAATTTGATTATTTGAGCCGGACACACATGACACATGGTACAAAAGCGTGCAACAGATCGTTTGTAATGATGATCTATTCAGGCTGACAATGAGCAGACAGCTTTGCGTTGTTTAACGCTCACAGTGAGCGCATTTGGATTCTTCGCTCAACGGTGGGATGACTGTCGTGCAAGGCAGTGAGTGCTCGACTTTAGGCCACAAGAAAAATTGCTTGTCCAAACACTGACTTTCAGAGATCAGAGTTGGTTGGTCAGGAATTTTGTATAGACCTAGGCCTACTTCTAGGCTAACCATCATTTATCTTTTAGTCAAATGGTAACCCAATTACATAGTATGATAGTTAAAGCTTGAAGAGTGGCCCTTTTAAATGGTCTGGAATTAGTCTCAAAGAATAATTCTTGAAATACATCGCATACATTTTATTCTGGTGGAAATGTCTTATATTGTATACTTTCTCAACAGGTACGGGGCTATCCTACTCTTCTTCTCTTCAAGAATGGTAAGAATGTTGAAAAGTATGGCAAGTCGCGAGAGTTGGACTCGTTGCTTACTTTTGTTAATGAGAAGGTTGCCCAAGTGAAAGATGAACTCTAGAGGTTGTCACTCCAGCACTGTAGGACTTTGTCAAGATAGGCACATCCATTGGGAATCAATATTCAACATTTATTTAAACTGTTTCCTTCACATGCGTAAAGTACATTCCATCTCTAGAGGGCGCCATACAATGCACAAGGAGGTGCATTCCAATTTCTTACAATATGATTACAAAACAAAAATTTCCTCCAGATAGATGTAAAAATATTCACTTATTCAAATATGCAGACAAAAGAACTGTCTGAACAAACCATTGAATATAGGTTTTATGTCTTACCCAGCCTCATGTGTTCTCTACACAATACTTGACTGATTAAAAAAAAACACAGCTTATCCAATCCATAATATCTTCAACCTTTCAGGGCTCAGAATCTGTCTGGTTAATTTTCTTATTAAATTGGTCCATGTTTATCTAAATTTTGACCCCATCTTTGGTGCCTTTAGGGATGGAACAACTTTGTTCATTTTCATGTTTGTGTTTTTTTTCAAATTGTATTTAAATTTTATGAAGACAATTAATTATAAGAATTTTATTAACGTTTCTTGACTTGTAAAATGAAGGAATCTTTCATGTTGGTGTTGCTTTATTGAACAATTTTTTTGTACCTTTTTTGGTGCAAGTGGCATTTTGAATTGCGCCCTCTAGAATATAGGCCTACATATTCTAGAGGGCGTATTTTGTTTAATATTAATACATCTATCTAGCTATCTATCTATACAAGTCTGTTTACGTAACTGTATGATACAATTCATTTAATTGTTTATCCGTTTTCCTCTCTTTATTATAGTGGCATTTTTGTCAATTTAGCTTGCATTTTTTGAACATCAAATATTATTGGTCAGTAGTCTTTTGATCCTGAAATTCTTCTACAAATTATTTTTGTAGTTTTATTTTTTTTTCCAAAGCATAGATTGCTTTTGATTTGTTCATTGAAAAATGCAAGTTAAATAATTAGATGTAAGTTTATTTCTTTAATATTATTAGCACTTATTAATGTTTGTTGTTTGAAAAACAACTTTGATTTAATCCTTCGTTTTAGATACAGTACAACTCCTTATTTGGGGCACTACTCCTTGCGATTCAAGTGAAAATATTCTTGCACTACAGCTAAACCCTATTAAAGGGACACTATTCTGGACCCGAAGGTTTCCGCTAATAGTGGTTTTACTGTATTTGCTAAACTTATTTTTAGATAACATAATAATAAAATACCAACGTAAGCTGGACAGAGAACGAATAATTATATTGTTATTTTTATATAACCATTGCTGAAAAATTACATATTCCGTATAAATACTGTACCATATTTTGCAATACTTATATTTTTTGCATGTTGTATATACTTTCTGTATGTGCTTTTTACACCAGAATTGCTTGACGTTTTCTGGTTGTAGAGAAAGAATGTGCTTTTTCTGAATCATTGTTTAAACATTTGATCCAGCCAAGATGTAATCACAATCTAATGATTATATGATCATAATTGATTTATATTGTGATCACAATCTGTTTATATACAGTATGTATGATTGCACTCCATTTGATGTAATCAGAATTCATTATGTTATCATATTCATTATGTTGATATCAATATGTTTATTATGTGATTACAATTCAATTATGGTGTGATCGTATTTTATGATGGTATGATTACAGTATGTTTATGGTTTGATCACAGTCTGTTTGTGATCACAATCCATACATAATGAGATCATAATCCATATAAAATAATCCTTTTACATTTCCATGTTATAATCCATTTATAATGGAATCACAATTATATTTATTATAATTACAGTATAGTTAGGTAATAGTCTTATAGGAATGATCAGAATAATTTGGGTTGTTTTATTATGCTGGGATCACAAAATTCCCTAATACCTTTTTTAAGTCAGTGGTGAAGTCATCACTTTTATTTGCACTGACTTTTCCTATTCGCGACTGATCACTTCTCGATATAGTGCTTCTGATTTTTTGCGTCTTGTGCGCAAAAAGGCTGAAAGCTGGGGTAATTTTACTACAGTACAACGCGATTGGAATATTTCTTGATACCTTGTACTACTACGAAATCATTCTAATACACGCAGGTAAAACCGGGCACTTGCTGCGCCCAGCGTTCGTCGGCCGACGCGATTTTATGTAGGATGCAACACGACGATGCAACGGATCGTTGTAATGAAGATCCGTTCAGGTGTCCACTGATAATCAGCAGATGACATCGTCTAGTGCTTACAGGGAATAGAGTTGGATTCATCGTGCAACGGTTGTAGTTCCCAGGCTTTATGCACATGCACAATGATCACTAAGTAACCAGCACTTTGATGGATTTATGATATAGGGCCCATAGCAACCGCTCTAGAGCAACCAGCAGTCTGCTTATAAAAGTAATAGAAAAGGTGATGCATGTCACAACTGACTTAATAGTTAAGTAATTTCGTACACTATAGAAAATATAAGCCTTAAGAACCATTATTTTCTTCAAAAATTGCCTTCAGCTCTGCAGAAATTTTCTCAGGAAATAATGGCTCCTTCAGCTTCTATTTTCTATGGTGTACTGAAAACGTGACTATTGCTTATATTGCAGTTGATACACTTTATCAATACTTACTTGAACTACAACCGATTCAGTTTTTTTTTCACTCACAAGCAGTGCCATAATGCTTTATGTTTCACAATGTATGTGTTATCTACACATCATGTGATGTTATGTTATGATCGTGAATCATCACCCTCGGTTATTTCTACCAAAGATCAAGTGAAAGGAAATGTATATTTACTGTATGCCCACCATGATGCCTTGAAAATAATGTTAACCAAATATTATGCTTAAGTTTTTTATGTCTCTCATTATGACTCCAATAAAATTGTATTTGTCAGGCCTTAATTCAGGAATGTATCCTGGATTTTTTCTGGGTGGGTCATGATCATATTTTTTTGGACCTTTTCAGTGGGAGACGTCCTGATGTGTATAAGAGACAGCCCCCCCTCACCTTGCATACATCCATGTTTTCTGTACCTTGCTACGAAGTGAAATTGTGTGAAAAATACTAAATCTAATTGGCTGTGAAATACGAGGCCAAAAAATAGGCTGGTTTATTTGAATGGTATCATATGATCGTATTTTCATTGCAGCGTTACTTTAGTTTACAATACCCCATGCGTGATGAAAACAATATTTGAAACACAAAATACTGAACAGAGGTTGTAAAATTAACTCATAAATTGCCTTGAAATAATGTGTTATGCCTGTGACATAAAGATGTATTGCCCGATGATAAATTTGAAATACCTAAAATTTTGAGATCGCAGTGCTCATTGAAATACTGTACCACAGAAGTTATCTGATAAAATAAATCTTTCAAATCTCGAAAATAAGTTTGTTCCATCAGAAATATTGGCTAGTAGAAGAAATGTTAGGCCTACCTACTAATGTACTGTACTTGTTTGATTCAATTACCTAATGAAAATTTATAAATTTAAAATATAGTTATTTCTCAAGTGTTTGTAGTGTCCATTGGTCAATACATCTTTAACTTCCATTGAAGTTTGTTCGAAGGATATAACTATATAATTATAGGAATAATCTGTCTGGTCAGTGATGTATTAAAGCAATAAGTTGACTTTTGTTACCGTGTTTACTCTTAGTTGTGATTAGAAATAATATTTTGTTGGACTATTTGTTACCTTTAGGAATTAAGTGGAAAATTGGTGTTGATCACATTCCAAAAGCATTAGAATATCATTCTGAATTAAATACCTTTATCCCGCTTATATTTTGCTTCATATTTATTTTAATTGTCTTTCTCCAAAAAAAATGTGTGGCATTGTGATCGATTGCATTTGGTCATTGCATTAAAGTTTGTGCGCAACAACAAAGTTGGAGTTGAGTGCGATGGAGGATCGAATATCAAGGGGACCTTTATAAATCCTAAGTTTAATTGACCTTTCCGAAGTGTCGGTCAAAATTAACAACTGACTAATTAGGACTGCGTCAGGAATACCCTCAAACGCATGTGTACGTATGCTTACGCTGTCGCTGAATAAAGGGAGGGACCCTAGTTGATTGGCCTATTTACACTGAACTGGGCTCGTCATTATCTGCTTTCACTTTAAAGTGCTACGGAACCTGTTGTAGATAGTAACAACAATACAACTATTTACTTACTGATTGCATTTTGATTTTTATATTTATACAGTATTAGGATAAGATATTACGACGTATGTGGTAATCTTAAAAATAACAAAACACACCCTTGACTATCATGTATTTATGCACCCTATTAAAATATTTATGACATGTCAAATATCAATACGTCATGTGGAACGGAAATTTCATTATATCCAATCTTGAACATGTTGACATTGCAATAAAGGCAACGTACTGTAGGCCTAAATACACTGTAAAAACAGCGTGGGGCATAAACAAAAACTCCACGTAATGTTGTCCCGTTTTCGGTGACACATTAAAAAGCTAAACGCGTTTAGACATAGCTTGATGTATTTAGGATCTTGCCGTGTTTAGCATTCGATGTATATTTGACATAAACACGTTTAGCTTTTAAACGTGTCACCTAAAACGGGACAACATTGCGCGAAGCGTTATGTTTAAATGCTCCACGCGGTTTTTAGAGTGTAGATATAATTATTTATTTAAGTTTTCTTTAACCAGGGTGTAACCATTCAGTGACTAGCACTGTTTCCAAGGAAGGCCTGGTACATCCAGTAAATGTAACAAAAAATATACAGAAAAGATTTTACAAAGTGAAATTCAAAAGTAACTAAAAAGTAAATTAAAAACAATGATAAAGTAGACCAGAACTGAAATATATGCAGAAAAATGGAAAATTAAAAAGACCAAATAGGGGCCTATAGACAATTACAAGCCCTAAAGAAAAGGGAAAGTATTACTGACAACAGATAAAGGCACCTTTTATAAACTTAAACTTATTGATAGAAAAAGAATCAAAATTGTTAAGAATGTTGTGAGAAAGATTGTCACATGACGTGTTATGTGGTAAAGAGCTTATGTACCGTACAGTATGTGGAAATCATATACCGGTACTATAACACGAACATCATAATATATATAATAACCCTTGCTTTTTAATTTTAAATCCATACATATGTATAATTATTTACTTTTATATATCACTTTGAAACTATATTACATTGGGATTTTTATATTCATATATACTATAGTAAATAAATAATTGTATTATGACGTCATTGAGACAAAGAAAGACAGTTAGTCCTAAAGGCAATCACTAGCAGTTCCAAAATTAAATAAAGAAACAAAAAAAAAATAAGTAAATAAACAAAAAAAAAAAAAAACCACCTAGACATAAGTCCGTATTAGATCACAAAGTAACACTTTGTCCACACTATCAAATTTCTGTGACAAATAACTGTGATATACCCATATTTGGGTGTAATTATGATAGTATTTATGGGCATTTATGTGTACATCACACACTTTTGTCACATAAAATGTGATAGCACGTGCGGACAGAGCTTAACGCGGTTCATTACATCACGTAGTTTGGTGCGATTAGTCAAGTCACATGTTACCCTGCATATATTTTTAATCCGATGCGTTCATGGATTTACCTACAACGACATCTCGCTGATGTTGACTACGGAAAATGTCGATCGTAGTTTGGTTCAACAACAAACCAAAAGAAACGTTTGACCAGCTTAGGAAGGGCCCAAACCAGTCCCACTACCACTAATGATTACAGAGCCAAACCAAGGCAATATATGTTTTTATATATATATATATATATATATAATAGAAAATACAAATATAATTTATTGTTACCGGCAACAGTGAGGGCGTTACGGGACCCTTTCCCAACTGGAATGCTATAATAGTCGCAGTTACAGCAGTGATGGCTTCTACAAAGCTGAAACACAGTAGCATAGCCGGGTACACGGTGCACTCGGTTGTCTGAAATAATTAGAAAAATTTAGAACTGTATTAGCAAGTAATAATATTAAAATTTTCAGTGGGAATACTATTATCTAATGCATAAATTAATTGTTGTAGATCTATATAAGAGTTAAATAATATATGAGCTATACATTCAATATGTTAATTGCGGATTTATATATAAATTATTTGCTATTGATAAACAAAATGAACAAAATATTTTTCTTGCAATACATTCATTAACTTACAATGTTATCAAATATGATTTGATGAAGCTGGCGTCCGCCCAAAAACAATGCAGTTACCGCAATAAAAAGCGCCATCATTGAAGCTATCAAGTAACACATAACCTTCACAAAGAGAATGATTATTTACTAATTTATATTATTAAAGGCCAATGATTTTAATGTGTAATCTAAATTAACTACGTGTGTTCTCTACGTAAGTTGTTAAAACAAAAGTGCCACATATTTTACCATTTGTCTTTTGAATTGTACAGTAATTGTAGAGCTTATTTACTTTATGGTAATGGTTGGGGGCATAGCAAATAAAAATAGCAGAGGAACCAACGCTATCGCACCGTTCACAGAGGCGGATTTAGGGAGGCGGTCCCCACCCCTTTTATCACGATTTTTTTTTTTTTTTTTTTTTTTTTTTGAGATAATTGAATGGATACTTAATTCCATAGAAAGGTTGATTCTATGTCACATTGCACAATGCATAGCTACAAAGAAAGTTTAAGCGCAGATGCACCAGCATGGAAACTTTCGTGCATGGGACTTGATTAATCGCACCAAAACTAACAACTAATGTGAAAATTAAAAGAAAACAAAGACAAATTAAAAAGGAAAAAAAGTAATATAATACTTATAGTAAAATTAAACCGTGATTTTAACCTATTTTGGGTAAACAAAACAGAAGGTTGTAAACAGAATAGAAGATTGATATAGGCCTACCTAAATACGCTGTTTACGCAGGAGGCATTTTCGAACTGTAATCGCCCAATCTCTCAGAAAGCGGTCCTGGGCCCCGGGGCAGCTTAGCTGCCGGCGGCCCCGAAAGCTGGAGTCTGGGGGCTGGCGGAAGCGCCCAGTGTAGTCCAGGGGTAAAGTATCTGAAGGGCTTTGGTTCCGGAGTTTTATTTATTTAGATGCCTAATTCAAACTACGAGACATGATAACAGAGAGAAAATAATGTCACCATCTTGAAAAAAAAATGCATTATGAAAAATTGCTTATTATTATTATTATAGATTTCTTTTTAAAAAAAATAACTGCTATTAAGTGAAACATATACTCACGTTCGTGTAACTGACGTTGCCAGCGGCAACCAGGCCCACAATGCCACAGAAAAGATACTAGCAAGTAAGTAAACAAATTGAAATAAATATTAATGACTTAATTAATAATATCAAATAATCTACGACTGAATTTGTAAAATCAGTGTCAACTACTTTTTCGATCTATATCATGTGATAACACATTTTAACAATTTCAATTGTGAACAATTTAGTACTGTGTTTATGTTTGAGGATTTAGATTTGAATAGGTCATATAACACTTGACCAAAATATAGCAGATAAACTATATCATGTTTATGAAATATAATAGGAATTTCATGAGCTTACTATCACACCGGACCATATTCCAATACGTATGCCTGAAGAGTCGCAGTTTCTGACCAAAGTCAATATACCAATCGTTAAGCAAATTAATCCCCATATCAGCTGACTAGTACAGGACAGGTAGATAATCTTCCCAAAGCTGGTGTTAACTAGTTTCAATATTTCTTTATAATGACGTTGGTATATTTTCAGGTCTTGATAACTAACTTTTACTAGCTCTTTCCTCGATGCCATCCTTTACTGAACTGACAAAAAAACTTTGGACTACAGGCGCATGCTGCAATAGTTACTTAACATCTAAAGGACTGGCGCTTGAAAACAGGTGCAAGCTCCTTTAATTACTTCAGGAAAATGATGTAAGACACATGGTGAAAGAAAAATATTGAATGTTTAAATTATGAGAAATAGTTGTAGAAAGGGATGTAGGCCTACTTTTTGAGTACTTCCGTCGTTGAATCAAGTACTATCCCGAGTACTACGAACGTGCTCATACTCAAAACCTATCAGCGCCTGCGGCAAAACGTTCTATTGACGCACGTGGTAAAACATTTTTAATTGCTTATTCCCAGTTCGTTATTCGTTAATGATGTCGGGACTTATAAACAAAAGTGTAAAAATTATGTATCACCACCACAGGGTGGTATTGTTGCAGTTTCCATATTACATCAAATTCAGATTTATTTGTTCACCCACATACAGTATGAAACAGTTCTCTTACCAAGAGAGCACCGGCATCGAGGAAAGTCGGGTTTGTTTTGTGGTTAAATGCAGGTTCTGATCTTGTGCATAAAGGAGTAGGGTTTCTTAATATTAAGCATAACTCAAGACGATCTTAGATGGCATATGAAATGAAGTAGGGCCTAAGCTTAAAATAGAAAGTGCATATTTTACCAGAGTACACGAGAAGCACACACACAAGACGAGTGACCCTTATTTTTTTCACGGTAACGAAGGTGGGTGGTCAGCCACCATATTCACCCCCTCTAGATCTGCTACTCCTATCTATCCTTCGTACCCTCTATTTTAAATACCAGGTTTTTTTGTAAGGTATCGTCGCTCATTAAGTTGTTCGTTTTCGTTTAAAACGGATGGTTGGTTAATACAGATTTTGTTATGTGAAGCAAACAATTAATTGATTAAAAACTTCATAAAATCTAATATTTCTATTCAATGAATATTAATGAGCAATTATTTTTTGTAAAGTATGACTTTCAATATTTGTCACTTCAAAAAGGTGTGGTAATTTAGTAATGTATAAATTGATACATATAAAATTAAACCCTAATAATTCTCTTCAATAAATATTTCAATGCGCAAGATACGTCACGTTTCTTTAGTAAAGTAATGACGCCAATATTGGTAAAGGAGGGTGCTCACGGACCGTAATTTATTACCTGGATACGCTCTGATATTCAACCAACATTAGACTATGGTTTCGCTAGCACTGTAGTTTACCGATATGATATGACCTGATAATCACGGCCGTACCTACGAACACAAATAAATATAGTTATCTTATCAATTATGATAAATAAGCATGTGCCTATATTGTGAAGTGAAGCAAGGCATCCACTTGGTATTGTAATCATTCAAATGCTCGTAAGTCCACAGATAACATCAAAGCTAGGCCTATACCAAGCCTAGCACGTACTTTTTTTTGGTATCATGGCAGGCAAAGTCGTATTTTGTTCGTTTTTTGTTGCATGTTTTGTTCTCCTACCAACGTATATACTTGGTACTTCGGAAGTTTTATTACATCCGCAAGCACAGAAAGCATTTCAAGCTTTTCAACGATTTGAAGGAGAAGCGAATTCTACAGTCCCAGTAAATTTATTGAAGAAGATCTTACAAATGATACTTGCTCCAGATTACATCAAAGCAATCAAAGAAGCTCCTGGAGTATCGGAAGAATGTCGTTCTGATTTCATAACCTATATTTACGATAAAAAGAATAACTCGGATTATGCTAATAGAAGTAAGTAAAATATACAAATAGATTGAAATAAGAAATTATGGTAGATACAAGCTTAGGCCTATAATTTTTTTTATTTTTCCAGTCACATATCTATGTATCTTCACTGAAAAAAAAAATAGTTCTTTCTCTAAATGTTTACCATTAGAAAATAAGTTTAGCTTTGGCTTTAGTGTATCAAACTTTTACCGCACCAAGAGATCTCGCTATCTTTTATTTTACAACCTGTTTACCATCCATTGGATCGAATAGTGTTCTTATACCCCAAAATATGTATTATTAAATATCGGCATTTATGTCACACACATACTACAATGGGGCGGATACTGGGGGGGGGGGGGGGGGGGGGGGGGGTGGTGCAGACAGTGCGACCGGAACATAACACTGTTTCAGGATAATATCATAGGAGTGATGTTTTGCCCTACCTGATGACATACAAACATAGATTTCAAAGCAAAAAAAGTACATTACTATATTAAAAAGTGTTTTTCAACATTAAATAAAGGCAGAAATACCGAATACTCAGTACGTCCCCAAAAATTAGCGAAAGAAATTTGCAAGTGATTCAGGGATAGGGATCGAACCCACGACGTCAAGGTATCTAGGCTGATATCTTAACTACTAGACCATCAAGCTTGCGCTTGGTGATTAGTGATGAATACGATCCCCTGCGGGTACTGCAAGTACTATAATGATGTGAGTTTGCATCAGGAAAATATCATACGAGCTCGGTGGTCTAGTGGTTAAGACATCAGGCTAGATACCTGGAGGTCGTGGAATCGATTCCCAACCAAATCACTTGCGATTTGTGTTCGCTAGTATTTGGCGAGGTACTGACTATTCGATACGACAACACGTCAGGTAGGGCAAAACATCACTCCTATGATATAGTCCTTTTTTATGGACTATATATACACCGTATGTATTATGCTGAATACATTATGTGGTACACTTGTTATCATGCAAGGTGTCTAAGGCATTGCATATAAGATTGCTGACATGTAACTTAAACCATAGAGGTGTCTTAAACAAATTTCAAGTTATCATGTTTAATTTGAATATTAAGATCAGGATTGTTCCATGTAGAAGGATTCTTTGATTTTCAATTTGATTTTGTAGTTCTAACTATCCATTATAAAGAAACATTTTTACACCCTTTCACATTTTCTGTTTGTATAAAGGTGTTTTAGTATATGTGAGCTTTTAAGTGACATGTAAACCTCACATGCAAGTCATTTGGAGTTTTTCCTAAGTTTATATAATATTATATAAACATTATTATATACAAGGTACAGTATATGATAGTAAGATATTATATCAGATGTGTTGTAAACAGCTTCAGTGGAAATTTATTCTGAATGACGTCATGTTACGGGAACTGTACCGTATTCAATCTTTCTAAATTCATGATTATTTTAGCCAGACGTTGTTCGGATACATGATGTTGTGCGAGTTTACTCTATTAACAGAGGTTATGTACAGTACCGGAAGATGATGATGGGATGATAACTTATAAATAACTTTGCAAATAAAACTGCTTCATGAACCATTTTTGTTTAAATTTCAGTGTATTATTCCAATGGCGATCATAACTTTATCAAGTCATTGTACAGATTTAACTTCGTGAGTTTGGGAAACTACGAGCTATGTACCAGTGTCAAGGAGCAAGCACCCTACTCCCCATTCGAGACTAAACAATGCGCTATTGCGTTTTGGGGATTTATTGTTGTAAGTAGTTTCTTAAAATTTGAAGCGAAACTAGTCTGTAGGCCAACACAGAATGTTTTACTGTCAGCTACAAATACACTAAGTCTCCTCGTCATTGATAATAAGAAATTCTCATATTCATAACGTCGAACTGTAAGTAAATAAGTTGAATGTGTGCGAACTTTTATATTCAAACTGAATATATAAGGACAGTTGCAACATTTTGAATGTAGGCCTATATTAATATATTATGTTTTTTCATACATATAGATGACCTTTGACATTCTCTATCATCTCACACCTAATTCGTTATAATAATTGACCTACCGTAAAACATCGATTTGAAGCCCCCATGGGCCTAATCTCGAGAAGAAGCCTATCATGAAAGGACCCCCACCCCTTCAGCTTGCAAAAGTAATCTCAAATGAAGCCAATCTCCGAGTAAAGAAGCCCACGAGCTTCTAATCAAGATATTATGGGCTTCCTTCGAGATGTACTGTACTTACATTCACCCTGGCAGACAATCTTTGATCATTATCATAGCGTGTCAGTATTTTAACTTCGTGAGTTTGGGAAACTACGAGCTATGTACCAGTGTCAAGGAGCAAGCACCCTACTCCCCATTCGAGACTAAACAATGCGCTATTGCGTTTTGGGGATTTATTGTTGTAAGTAGTTTCTTAAAATTTGAAGCGAAACTAGTCTGTAGGCCAACACAGAATGTTTTACTGTCAGCTAAAAATCCACTAAGTCTCCTCGTCATTGATAATAAGAAATTCTCATATTCATAACGTCGAACTGTAAGTAAATAAGTTGAATGTGTGCGAACTTTTATATTCAAACTGAATATATAAGGACAGTTGCAACATTTTGAATGTAGGCCTATATTAATATTTTATGTTTTTTCATACATATAGATGACCTTTGACATTCTCTATCATCTCACACCTAATTCGCTATAATAATTGTCCTACCGTAAAACATCGATTTGAAGCCCCCATGGGCCTAATCTCGAGAAGAAACCTATCATGAAAGGACCCCCACCCCTTCAGCTTGCAAAAGTAATCTCAAATGAAGCCAATCTCCGAGTAAAGAAGCACACGAGCTTCTAATCAAGATATTATGGGCTTCCTTCGAGATGTACTGCACTTACATTCACACTGGCAGACAATTTTTGATCATTATCATAGCGTGTCAGTATTAATAGTATTGCATTGTATATAGCATGGTTAAAATTTTGAAACTATTACACAGAATTTCGAGTTCAATAGTTGCAAAAATAGTAGCTATTATAGTATTCTAAAATTTACGGCATTCATTTTGAAAAGAAGTCCCTTTTATATTTTGCAAACTAATCTCTGAAAGAAGCCCATCTCGAGGGGCCCATCCATGTCCTATAAAAAACAGTCAGAGGGCTTCTATTCAAGGTTTTATGATATACCTAGGCTTACTATTACTCTGACATATTTTGGCACGGATAGGTACCGGTAAACCATAATCTCCTCTACCATGTTCAACGATAGTTTCGTGACCAAATTTCCATATCATGCATTCTACGGAAAATAAGTAAATCCTTAACTTGCATAGGCCTCTCCGGCGAATAATTACTTGTTTTTGACCATTGACGGGATCCTTTGACAAAACCACTGGTTTTACTTTGAGAGCCAATACTTTATCTAGCTTTTAATTAGACATAAGAACAGTTTGGTCATTTTTTGACATGAATAAGAGGCACATGATCGTTTAATTATTTACCATTATTAGTTTGTGACTAAATTTACGTATTAATCCTCTACGGCGAATAAGTAACTAGTTTTGTTATAACATTCAACCTATTTTTTATTTAACTAGTTTTGTTATAAAATTCAACCTATAATATTATTTGGTCTTAATAACAAATCACACTACAATGTAGTACAGTAATTAATAATTGCGACTGTTCCTCAAATCAGTTTGCTATAGATCTATTATTGTATTTCAGCCTATAAAGAGTGCGGTTTGCGTTCCAGTGTCATGCAGTACAACTGACCTTTGGCTGATTACAGAAGCTGGTAAGCTATCCATACAACTTTTTACCTTTCATATGTTTATTTAAAACGTAGTAGTCATGTGTAAGGGAAGACAATGTTGGCTCATCATAATTATCTGTTCGCTAATATACTGTGTATCAATAGTCTGATTTAGACGTAGCGCACCAGAAGACACTTCCAAAGATCATTCAAAAGTAATGAAAGTAAAATATCATAAAATAATTTATGTTAATTATCGGCTGAATATTTCTATTACTTGTAGTGATAAAAGAAAACCCTATACCGGACATTGGACTGAAGTATTTAATTTATTACGAGTGCATTGATGTCGTTCCATGGTCAGCTGGTGCAATTGTAACAATGTATGTATTATTTTATTTTAATTGTTATCAATATTCGTTAACTTTCCAGAAAAAAATATATCAAGTTTCGTAGTAAAATAACTGTTGGTAAATTTCCGTCGTCAAACTCAGGCAACTTTTGTGATTGGCAAAAAAGTGTTTGACAAAATTAATTATTTAAATAGATTTGAACTCGTCACTAAGGACGAGTTAGGTGATCCGCTTGTCTGGCAAAGGAAATCGCTAGGCGCTTAAAAGGCATGAATTATGGGAAACTACCGTAGCCAGGATTTTGAAACAGTGCAGGACAATATCATGTCTGTCGCCCTCTCTCTGGGGTTCTGAAAAAATTGAAGAAAGAAAGAGGAGGGGGAGGGGGTAAGAAAAACATTAATTTTGACCATGATGACGTCATAAAAGTGAAAAATGAATGACACCTGATGACACATTGTGAAAGCAAACTATCTCAGCTATAACATACTCAAAGGTGGGAGACGATCGATCAAGAAAAAGCGAGGGATACATACAAATTATGCGTTATAAATAAAAATACATTTTTTTTTTATTCAGATGGCAATATGATGACGTCACAATGTCCGATCAGTCATAATGATGTGCCTTCAGAATATGTAACAATAATTGGGGGTCAACCTTTCATCCTAAGGAGCTATAACCAAAGATGGTTATAACCTGCTATAACTGATTAAAAATAAGCCTGATTTTAGCATATTTTATTATTCTTATTATTATTATTATTATTATTATTATTATTATTATTATTATTATTATTCTTTCTTTAGGCACACAACACATGTGCCAAGGATTGCCAATAGCGAATATATATCACTGTCCTACTTGTAGGTGACAATCCCTTACACAAGACAAACATACACACACACACGATGCTTTACACAAACTAAATCTCAATATGAGATATAGGGAGGGGAGTTGTTTATGTCGTGAGAAAAAATCCTACAACTGGCAGGAATTGAACCCAGGACCCTGGGATTGGAAGGCAAGCATCTTAACCACCAAGCTATTCAACTCCACTCATGTCACTGTATGTCGGCACAAACGCGCACAAAGATTCTTATGTTTGATGCGCGCGTACGGCATTGCTATTGGCCATAAGATGACTGAAAAGAATGGAAAATTGTGAATACAATGTCAGGAACCCAAAATATGTAATTTCTAGCTTCCGTACGTGCCGCGCGCGTAAAAATGTGCCCACGTAGTGGAAAATGTCAACTATTTTTGAAATTTTGACGCACACGTGAGCGCGCGTTATGATGCTCACGCAAAATATGTTAGTATGTGACAATCAAACTTTACTGGAAGTTTATTCCCACTGAATATGATTTAGAAATGATAATTGGTTAGGAAGATATGAGCGATAATTTAAAAACGCAAAATTGCGCGTAGATGACGTCACGCATGACTGAGCACATTGAAAACCTTATTGTGACTATTCCAGGCCAAGAAAAATGTTCGTTGAAGCGCGCCTATACGTAGCTCTTGCCAATTTTGAGATATCGTGCTAACAAAAATGTGGTGAAAGAAAGAAGGAATAAGAAAATGATCTCTGACAATAACAAGAGGCGATGCGCTTTGTAGCGGATCACCAATAAATCAGAAAATGTATATTAAATAAATATTTTCAAAGACAACATTAATATTATTTTTAAAAAGGTGCATCTTATCGATATTTGCTGCTCTTGTGATTGCCGGAACTGTTTACGAGACAGTGAATAATTATTTAGAAAGACATAAAACTATACAACCAACCAAAGTAAAGCGTGTTGTTGAACCCGTCACAAACAATGCTTACTCGAATGAGACATTTATGTCCAAGACTAATGAAGCAATGGAGTTGAAAAAAGACGAAACCAGCGAAACCTCTTCTGGTATTGATACTGGCTCAGCATCTTCAGTGGAAGCGAATCCGAACTACGGCACTATAGACGTAGAAAATGTTCGGAGTACGGATGTACATGTTCAGAATTCATGCACAGGTTTGTTTTTCCAATTACTAATGTACATATAGGCGTAAAATAGTATTTGGTAGTCCAAATTTTGAAGATGACATGTGAACCATGGAGGAAATTCCTCCTTGTATTAACAAACCACTCTTATCATTCTCTTTTACTTAGACTTAAACTCCTATACTTATTTTATTTTAATGCTTTCTTTATCTTATTTTCTTTACGTCTCAAAGGCACACGTTTATTACAAGATTGTCCTCAGAGGATTGCTATATTTATTTACGCATTTTATATGTTACCTCAAAATAATAAATGAGATGAAAGAAAGGGACTATTCTTTATCTATTGAAGACTACTGATTAAAATATCGAATTCAAATTACGAGTTAGTATTGCAACTTGGAGCAGTAAATCTAAAGGATAATTATCATCCTTAACTATTTATTATTTAATATTTTTTATGACAATAAAAGATCTGTATCTCTGAATCTGTATTTTATTATTTATTATTTTATTTTTACCTATTATTTTATTATTTATTATTTTTATGAAAATAAAAGATCTGTATCTGTATCTGTATTTTATTGGACTTGGGATTAAAGAGAAAGGTAGAAACATGAGACAGGACGTAGAGTATAATGAATCCTATGGAGCTGGGACGATTTAACTAGGATAGGGACTACAAAAGGTTAAAAACGTTAAGGGATAATGTATTCTCTGGAATATAACAGGTAAGGTTTATGGTGAGTAACATGACAACATATATTTAATTTTCCAGAAAACCTTTTTATGGATAATGAATTATACAATAATATGAATTTAAAATGAAGCCCAACATTACTGTGATTGTTTTTATAGCTTTTATTGAGAAATTGTTGATGTGCTTCTCTGCTACAAAAAATGGATCCAAAGTTCTGAACTCTGGTAGTGCAGGAGGACAACTAGGGTGCCTTAATGGGATTCGTGTACTGAGCATGTGGTGGGTTATCTTGGCGCATACTGCCTTATTTAGCGCGGGGAATATAGGTAAGTTATGTTGATAATATTCCAGTTTTATAATTGTGACACAACCAAGTTTTCTTTAAAAAATAACTATTCTCCTAAGGATTTTCTCTGACGCTTTTCGATTTATTGAGCTTCGTTGGTTTTTACATTTTGGAGTTTGATTATAGTGTCGAAGATGTTCACTGTGCAAACTTTATTGGGCTTGTAAAAAGTAGTAGGTGTGAGGTAATATGTACTACATTGAAAGGAAACACTTAGCTACATGTTTGTTCTATATTTTCTAACTACCAAAAAATATACTATCTCTTGCCGACCTTTTTGAATATTATAAATTAAATCTAATTATTTACGGTTTCATTATTCAGCATGTCATAAGGTCTTCGTTACCATCCCTTGCCCTGTTGTTGTTATTGTTGTTGATGCTGTTAATGGTGTTCATGTTTTTACTATTATTATTATTATTATTATCATAGAGAAAATAGTTATTATTATTATTATTATTATTTTTATATTGTTTATATTCTTCTAGATGATTATGTATTTACTGATACAATTATGACAAGATTTTCTTTTCAAGTGATTACCAATGGCACTTACTCTGTCGATTCGTTTTTTGTCTTAAGGTAAACAGCAACAATATATTCATTGTAAATCTACTAAAATTTAGATTAATCAATCACTAGTTTATTTGCTTAAATAAATATAACTATTAATCAACATTGTAAAATTATTTAAATGCCTTTATACATACACATATATGCCTATCGAGTACTATTGATTAAAAAAAAATGTTTTGTCTTCCTATAATATAGCTAAATATAATATAATGTATATTATATAATATAGCTAAAATAATGTATAAATATATAATGTAGCTAAAATATTAACACTTTTTTCTCAGCGGTCTTCTTATAACCTATCTGACTCTTATACATCTTAAGAAAACCGATGGACGGATGAATTGGGCACTGTTCTATTTCCACCGATACTGGCGTTTAACACCCTTATACATGATCGCCATTGCAATAAATGCAAATCTATTTGTGTACTTTGGTAAGGGTTTATCAATGATCGGATACCAATACTTCTTTCACACTGCATGTGAGAAATATTGGTGGACAAACCTCTTGTACATCAATAACCTGTACCCATTTCCAGGAAACCTTGGCGAGCAGGTTAGTCATGCAAATTGTAATAGACATAGGTCCAAAGTTAAAAGTGGTGTTAGTAGGGGTTACTGGGTTGGAGTAGCATAAAGAGACAACTACGGGACAATCCCCGATAGGGATAGACACCCCTGACAAAGTCTTTAACTGCCAATTGTTTGATCATGTCTGTCAGGAGATTACAATTGCGCCTTTATGATACGCCACCCTCGTTTGGAACACTTCTATTCAGGAAACACATAGCAACACTTTTCCGGGAAACGAAAGAAATAATATTTTGCTTTCCTTACGGCTTTGATTCAATGGCCTTCGTCACTTTGTGGGATACCACCTCTAGTTTTAAAAACAAAACTATTCAAAACAAAAGGCCATGCCGCCCTCTTGCATTTGCTATCTATGATCTATCGTCCTATTTTGTCATCAGACGGCTTGTTGCACATGCAAAAACGAAGGAAATAAAATATTTTAGCACTATTGTTAACTTGTATTTAGGGGTGAGTACTGAGTGTGCCACGATTATATATATTTAAATTATTTTAAACTATTACGGGGAGACCAATTTAAAAAAAATCCTATGACAACAAATGCAATTTTTAAAGTTTGATGAATTTATAACATGGCCATATTGATCCCCGGTAACGAACGGAATTGAAGCGGACACAGTCAATTAAATTAAAATTTTGGAAGAACACTACGATAACACTTTTCTAGGGGGTCCGGGGGCATACCCCCGCGAATTTTTTAAATAACAGTAATAATAATAATAATAATAACCATAATAATAATAATAACCATAATAATAATAACCATAATAATAATAATAATAATAATAATAATAATAATAATAATAATAATAATAATAATAATAATAATAATAATAATAATAATAATAATAATAATAATAATAATAATAATGTTATTATTATTATACCATTTACTATTGGTACTATAGACGCCCGAAAATAACATCTGAGTCGTTTTAGGTGATCATTATTTATTTATTTTTTTTTCTTTCTTTCTTTTTTTTAGGGGGGGGGGCTAAATCCTCCTCTAGGTTAGTGTCTCTAAAATAGTGATACCCCAATTTAGAAGACCCTATTAAAGGGAATTTTCTTGGTCCCAAATATGTCTCCTTAAAAAGGGGCGGTTTTCGGTATTTTCAATTTTAGAAACAAAGTGCAATTGATTAAAAAACAATATCGGCACAATCATTAGTTAAGCACAGAGGACAACATTTTAAATTTCTATATTAAGCTACAATGTGTTGGTAATGGGAAGTTCCTTAAACAAGGAGGGTGTAATGTGTGCAATTCGCCACCTTCGTAGGGGTGTGCAATTTCAAGACCATTCAATATCAGATCTTTGTGTTAAACTAGAAATAGGCCACAGGTAGTTAATGCTCCAATCCAATATGTGGTTGGGCTGAGCATTCCTGATTTTTCCTATTATAAAAATCTCAAATCTCTACATTTTGGGATGTTTGGTTGGTTCCAGTCTGAACATTAGACTCCACCAGTCGGAATATACGCTTACTTCACCTTCACTTATTTTTGGAGGTTTTTACGTTCCCCTCACTTGTGGTGTTCATTCACATCACCACTCCCCACTTTCCGTCTCTCAGCCAGAGTTTAAGTCTATTGACCTCTATGCTATATATTGATAATTTTAGGTAGTGTTAGGCCAATAATTGAATAACTTTTAACCTACCCGTTTTCTATTTTCAAACACTTACAAAAACTTTGTAATAATTTTTATTAAAGTTGTCTAAAATGTCAGTTTTAGAGAATTGAGTTTTGGTCTTTTAGTGTTTGTCGTGGGGTTGGTACCTTGCTAACGATATGCAATTCTTTGTCATCTCTCCGTTGCTAATTGTACTGCTGAGAAAGTAAGTTAATGTACCAAAGTACTTTTAACCATCACGATTATGATCATTGCCATTGGACATCGACATCATCGTCATAATCGTCACTGTCATTATCATCATTAAGTAATTATTTATGATAATTTACGGTACTTATTTACTGTTGGATTGGTTGAATAATTAAATGATTGATTGCCAGTTACCCAGTTATTCACTCGCTCATTTAGAAAGTCAAGATAAAAGAGAAATTTATTGTCATACATCAAACGTGTGAAATAAATTTTGTCTTCACTGCTGCAAAGACGAGTACCATTATATTAATTAACAAAGACATTTAGATAACTTACAAAAATAAATTATCTAAACCAATTATAAACTCATGAATTTATCATTAAAATGTATGTACTGCATTTACAATGAAGGAGTTCTGATGGTCATTCGATTGTATTTTCGACAATTTGTTTATTCATTCATTAATTTGTTCCATCGTTAGTTCTCGCTTAGCTGTTTGAGTTTGTTAAAATGGCACGATATGCATAACATTGGAATTTATGTTCACTATCATGTTTCCTTTTTTAGGAGTTGGAAGGCCGGTTTTGCTGCAATATCTGCTCTCTGTTTGTTGTCCTTTGCGGCAACAGCTTCAATTAATACCTATTGGGGTTTGCCAATCGAAGGTGGTTGGGAACAACAGTACGTGTTAAAATTACTGACTATTACTTAGGAGTACTAAGCCTACAATAAAATATACAAATAACCATTAGAAAATATATCTTTATTTAAGATTAAATTTGTAAAGCCCGATAATTAATTTCTAAATGATCATTGAAAGGTGATCAGTAGCTGTCAGGATACTATATATTTTTGGCCCAGTTGTCTTAATTGAGCACCGCTGCTACAAAAGATCGGAATATTGTGTATTACTGTATTACCCTCGCCATTGAAAAATGGAGAGCGTTTTAATTTTGTTGCAATTAAAAAATTATAACATAATCTCTGTCTACTCAGAAAATATAACAACCGGACGGATTCAACCGAGTATCCAGATGGGGATCGAGTTTATGGCAAGCCCTACTGTCGTATTCCAGCTTACCTAGTTGGAGTGTCTGTTGGATACGTATTGTACCGCCTCGATAAAAAGCAACTGAAGATACCAATGGTAACCATTAGATATGAATACGTATAGCTGGAAAAACGTGATAGGCCTTGCACCTTGACCTCTAACGATTAGTGCCCAAAATTTATTGAAAACACGTAAAATATAATAATGACCTATTATCAAATTTAAGCCGCTTCGAATATCTTTCCTATTTTTCCTTCATTCTTTTTTCTTTATTTAATGCTTAGGCCTATACACTAAAATAAAAATAACTTATGAATTTCCAGAAATAAATTTAGATAGGCTTTTTTTTTTTTAATAAAGGCTTCTACGAATGGATGTCCTGTTTTGAGCAGGAAATCTTGTTGTCCCTACCCAATACCGCCTGATAATAAATCAACGGGAAATTTACCGATAGTTTCAATATATTTAATACGTAAGCCATCATGTTTCGACAATATTCATGGCAATTACGTTTTTGTTTGTCATAGATGGCTGTTCTGTTGGGCTGGTGTGCAGCAGTAGCAACGGGACTAGCTGTTATATATGGATTGTGGAGTACTTATGATGGACACCAGGTTCCCCAGGGTGTGGCTGTATTTTATAACACCGTTGCACGATTCTCTTGGTCGCTTGCTGTAGCTTGGGTTGCCTTTGCGTGTATTACCGGCTACGGAGGTATGTGAAGACTTTGTAAGCCTATTATGAATTAAACATCAAAAGAAATTAGGCCGCACTATATTTTCCTTGTTGTTGAGCCACAACGTATTGACCTTTCCGACATGTCAATTAAACCTCTGACCAATCAGAATGGAAGGGGTGGGGGTAGATAATTTATTAGAGACTCAGATAGCATTTTAGTTTAGCTTAAAGCTTATCTTCAACAAGAATAATAATTGAAATCAAGTCTCAGAAGTTAACGATGTTTTATATCTCTGCATTAGGTTTTGCGAACACCCTTCTTTCTTGGAGTGTTTGGTCGCCCCTTGGACGTTTAAGCTACGGTGCCTATCTATTTCACCCGTTAGTTATATACGGCATAGTACTTACATGGAAGACTGAGTTCCACTTCACAATTCCCAACTATGTAAGTATTGAATTATTTATATTTATTTCATTTAATATTAGACTAATTAAAATATTAACGAATTTGTTGATATAAATCTCGTGTTCTGAATTACCTGGAAATCTGCTATGATAACATTTAACAACAAGTGGCTAACAAAGTATCCTTGATAAACAGGTATCGTTAGCTTTACTAAAATGTTTTATCGAATAACATTATCGATACGTGTTTCTTTCAGGCTAATCTCTTCATTGCATGTATGGCGCTTTCGTACGCTGTAGCTTTTGTGATGTCATTGATCATAGAAGGACCATTTATGGCGCTGGAAAAACTGATGCTTGGAAAAACCAAACGAGAATAGTGATTAATGAGAGAAATGCATTCTTCTTATATACTTCAAATTCACTGAAAAAACGCAAACGAAGAATAATAGGCTGCCTACATTAGGCTAAAACAAGTTGAGGCTTAGTGGTTACGATTGAACATCTTCAGCGTCTGTGTTAAAAATTCGATTTTTCTCACAAAATATAAAAGCAAAACTGCACTTCACAAGCCTCGTAAACAGACTTGATTATAGGATATCGAATAAATGATCAGTTCGATGAATGAACAAAATCAGTAAAAAATAGTACGAAACATAGATAGGCCTAATTAGTTTAGTCTTGGTAGGTTCAATCCGATGCGCAATGCACTGAGCTTTTCTCTCTTCTCTTTTTTATATGGAAAGGGCCCTGGCCAACTAGCCCCTGAATGTAGCCTTGATTTTAAAAAGTACATCTACACCGTAAAGTGCCACAGTGTAGTAGTACAGAACGATTTCAATAGGTTACACTTAACAATTTCATGAAATTTACTGAAGTGTCTAAAAGTATTAACCCCGAATTCATAAAACTCTATACTAACGTCTGATGTCTAAAGGATCAGCAGTATGGGTACAAATATCTGCTTTAACTAGGTCAAACGACTTTGAAATAGAGCTGGGCCAGAGAGGGACTTTTACAGACGGAGAGTGTAGATCACCTCAGCCCCACCGTGGTTGGGGCTGAGGTAAGAAAATTTATGATTATGGCACCTCTAGTTGGTCGGAAATGGCACTCTCAGACTGAATTTGAATATAATTTTCATTTTTCTCCACTTTTAAATTTCGGGGGAAAAAATAAATTAAGGATGGTGGGCCAATTGGGCCCCTTGAATCTGCCACTAAAATACTCATCATAAAAAGTTTTTAAAACTATCCTTTTAGTCATAATTATGCCCGCATATATATTTCGTGCCAAAAATGAGCCTTGGTTGGGGACCAGGGGGCGAAGCCCCGGAAGCTCTGGCGCACATAGCCTTTTAATTGATTTTAAGCAATGCAATTAACATTTATTGCCATACGAAATTTTCAAAATATCCAGTGGCGGATCCAGTAATTTGAAATAGAGCTGGGCCCAGAGAGGGACTTTTATGATTATGCCACCTCTAGTTGGTCGGAAATGGCATTCTCAGACTGAATTTGAATGTAATTTTAATTTTTTTTCCACTTTTAATTTCGAAAAAAAAAATAGGGATGGCGGGCCGGCTGAGCCCCTTGAATCTGCCACTGAAATACTCATCATAAAAAAGTTTTTAAAATTATCCTTTTAGTCATAATTATGCCTGCTTATGTATTTCGTGCAAACTAACCTTCATAAAAATAATGATTTATTATCTACTGATTAGCTTGTAACGTATTCAAGATAAACTTAAAACAGTCATTAATTTAGTCTTTTTGTATGTACAGTACTTTTAAAATCAATCAAGAGGTTTTTGCTTTTCTCCTTTATTTGAATTTCACTTTTGTGTAAGTAATATTGCGACTACACTATTGTGAGTGACAAAAGTACCGTCTAATTTACGATCAAACAGGACTAGGGAGGGAGCACACAAAACATTAGTTAGCATTTTGATTTCACAAACATAAAGCTGATTTACTTAATTTATCATTATCAGTGGCAGGAAACAAATTAGAGGGGGGACAGGGAGAGACTTGCACAATTTGGAAAGTAGATCACCTCAGCCCAACATTGGTTGGGGCTGAGGAAAGACAATTTATGATTATGACACCTCTAGATTGCCGGAAATGGCACTCTCAGACCTAAATTCTTATTATAATTTTTCTTTGTTTTCTTTTCCATTTAAAAAAAAATAATTTTGAAAAATTTAGGGTCGACTCGGCCCCACTTGAATCCGCCACTGATTACTATGACGTCATTGCGAGATTGCCAACGTAACACTGGAGTTTGTAAACTTTTGGTAGGCCTATCACTTAATCGAAATAGATAGACATATCCGTGTCAAAGGTTGTATAATTATTGTTTAATAATGGCTATATTTATTAATGGCTATATAAAATTCAATTGACTAACTATAATTTTTTGAATTTAGGAAAAACAGTAATCCTATGTATGTAGATAATATTAAACACTAGCATAACGTACGGGTC